CTACAAAAATAGCCCACAAGTCCAATGCTTGTGCATAGTCAAGTTGGTGTCTAGAACGATGGTTGAAGTGTTACCAGAGAAGCATGTGAGGAAAACTCTAGCCTCCATCCTCAGCTAAGGAAAGGCTACTGCTGCTATGAGAAAGGTTAGAGAGTGCAAAACACACACCTCAACGTGTGAAGCAAAGAAAAGGGATAACACGAAATATGTCCAGATTTTGTGGCACTAAACCGGTTATCTTCAAGTCGGCGATTAGTGACTCAAACGAAGTTGGATTGACCCCAAACTTGGTGATCTCATTCCTCGCTTAGGACCCTTCAATGTCTTAAGTTGGTTTGAGTATTGGTTGAGTAAAACATCGGATTTGAGAGATATCTTGTCGGCTCGGTTTGCTGTCATTTTAGAACAGAGCAATTTTGGTAGATGAATTGTTTGGATGGTCAAACGGTGTCCGTTTGAGTTGAATTTTGGTGAGTAGTTGGAAGACCCATGGATCTACATGTCCACCAAAATTTGCATATATTGGAGCACTAGTTTGTGAAATATGAACAGAAAACCGAAGAGTACAGAATCTGTAATTTCTTTGTGACTGCGACCATCCTTCGCATTCGAAAGTTGTGTTTGCAATTGATGCCAAGGTATGTAACGCGGTTAGTAATTGTTGCGATGCCCTAAAGAAGACTCCTTGGGCCCCTTTGTACCTTGTTCTTGGCCTCTTCTATTAACAATGTTCGAACAATCGAGGTGTTCTACGAGTCAACTTGTGCCGTTGCAAGTCAAAAATAGATTGGAAGGGTGTCAAACCATAGATTTTAGGTCATGGATTGGAGATATTGATTAACCCTAGAATGGAAGCCTCGATGTCAAATATAGTTTAAGAAAGCTGGTTTTACTACGATGCAAGTCAACCCAACTTGCAGTGCAACTGCACCACGAAGGCAAATTGTACTTAACCTGCTTGGTAGTGAACTGGTCCCTAGTTTTGTGATTACTTGCAACTTGTGTTGTCCTCCAAGCCTCGCTAACATCCTTCTGCGTCAATGGTTCTCCAATGCTGACATGCCTTTGGTACCTTATATGTGTTTTTACCCAAGAGGTTGCATCAGATTCAACCCAGATCACTGTTGCAACTTGGATACGAAGGCTCCCTAAGGAATGATCATCGAGAACGTTGAGCCGACAGAGTCAGCTATTACGTTTACCACTCACTCGGCAGACTCAGACCATACAATATTATTATCAGAGAAAGAGAACTGCACACACGGAACCATTACAACGAGTATCCTTCGAAAGATTATGATCTAGTGCAAAGTCCATATGGTCTGTGCTGTATCCACTAGGGAAGTAGATGCTACAAGTATTTAATCTATGTTTATATCGCTCTTCATACATCGAGGACGAAGTATGTAGGACAGTGCTATCTTGGATTTCTTCCAATGTAACAATGTTTCATGGATGCCAACGAAGGAGATTTTTCAGACAACAGCTTACGACGAAGAGCAAGTATCAGAAAGTGTCGTGACCAAATTAGCCTCTCTGATACTTCGAAGTTAAGTAGCCTAATGCTATCACTGATGTTGGAAACTGGTTGACATGTTTCTCTTCCCTTAAAAGTCTTTTGCACCGAATCTCAGGACACGATTCCTTTAAGGGGGGAGGGCTGTAACACCCCAGGTGTTTGTCACCAGTTAAGCAATGGGTTTGAGCTCAAACATGGCATGTTAAGTGGTGATGAAGGTGTCAAGATCAAATCTACAAGAGTGAGCTCCAACTTAAACTTGGACCATGCACCATTGCTTACATGCTGCCCTTTCAAAAAAGTATGCTTGAGTAATGTTGGATGTACTTCTTTCATGTGTCTCACATCAATATCCATCTATATTGATCCATGGAAAAGTTTTATGAAGTTTGGAATCAAGAAGTCACATGAAATGATAAGTCATATCTTTGTTGGAATTGCATTGTTAAGTGAATGGAAACATTGGTCATTAAACGAACCTTGCAACCTTGCCCAAATGACTCTAGAGGAACTCTACAACAGAAGTTATGAAAGGTTCATGTCGAGCAGATATCAAGAAAATGCTCCAATCGGCCTAAAACTCTTATTTAAGCTTTATCGTGATGCCAGTTTGACCTATGTTGACCAATCATTTAGATTGCTTGCATGACAGTGGAACCTAAATAAAAGTTGAAGTTTGAGTGGAGTAGAACAAACTTTGTTTTTGGACCAAGAGCCAGATCAACTTGGAACTAAGTCAAACTGAGGCTCAAACTTTGAATCTACTGCGATTTTCACAGTCCGAAAAATTGGCTAAGTCTGGGATGCCTGAATTTCACGATTTTAGTTTTCATGTACCCCTCTTCGTAGCCGTGTATCACTCCAACCAGGCTGAATCAGACTTTGATGCTTTAAGAAAAGTTGTAGATGTCGCGTAGCTCTACAATTTTGATTACTACGGATTGTGCCAGAAATAAGTGGTTTAGGATATATGGAGGGTTGAACATCGGGTTTCAGTGGTATGTTTGAGGTAGAATTGGATATTCTAAATTGATGAACAGTGGACGATCGATGCTCTGGCGCTGCAGGTCGCGTGGCGCCTTCGCTGCTTGCATGGCCGCCTACTCGTCTCCTTACCGTGCTCAAGTAAAGGACCGGAATGTCTTGTTGCATGGCCATTGGATTTGTATAACTCTAGTTATGATCTAAACATGAAGCTGTTATTTCCAGTCCAGAAATAGACATATGCTAGTTGTGGTTGTTTACTCCATGTGTTGCTAAGTGTGGCTTATGCCCTTGTTGATGGCCAAGTTATGATACTTGTGACCTTGTTAAACTTGTGTCATGCTTGATGTGCTTTCTCTCTATAGTTAGTTGCGTGATGTTAGTTAAATAGCTATTGGTGTCTATGTCTTGCATAATCTTGTGTTTGTCTTGAATGCTTATGTGATGCATCTTGTATTACCATTCTTCATATTCATGCACTTGCATCTTGCATCTCATCTAGGTGCGCTAGATGAACCACGTGAAGGACGTGATGTTGGAGCCGAACCCGAAGACGGTGTTTGGTGGACCTATCCCGAAGGTGGAAGGACTAGACAAGCGCTAGAACGGGAGATGCTCACTTAGCGAGTGTCGTCTAACTAACACTGACTCAGTGTGGGATCCCAGGCAAGCCCCGGAGCATTCTAAGTCTCCTACTTTATAAAAGCAATTCTTTCTATATATATGAGTTTATATATTGTTGCATTAAGTTGTAGGAGTTGATTGAAACCGTTGATGCATTTATTACTATCCTTGCCTACCTTATTACCTTTTACCCTGTTAGGTCAGGATCGAATAACTGCTTAGCCTTGCTTAGACCGGTAGCGATCGGTGATATCCGGTCACCTACATTATAGGTGGTTACTGGAAGAATTTAGCTATGGAAAGAATGATATCCTGGAATTAACCATGTGTGATGAATAATTGGAGACCGGACGGAAAAAGTTGGAGGCAACCAGACAGGGTTCTGGGGTGCTGTTAGTTTCTGTCTGTGTCGATTAAGGATCGATCGTTGCTCGTCCCTCTTGTCATGTTGAACACATGCCTCACATTTAGCTGGCCGAATAAAGTACCTTTCGACCGCGAAGCTAGTGACACTATTTCGAGCCGGGATAAACTCGGATGCGTAGACTGGTGCTGAAGAGGGTATGACGGGGACGCGAAGAGTGAGCCCAAGGTGCGTCCTGGCAGTCGGACGGTCCCTGGGTAGTGCGGTCCATGACTGTTATCCCGTGGCTACTTGGAAGGTATCATTGGTGATCTAAGCGACCCTGACGGGGGAAGCGTGGTTTGTGTGAGGAATAAATCACCAGCTGGTTAGGAATCGATTCGAATCGCCATCGCTCCTGGATAGTGAGCACTTGACTCGAGCTACGGCATCGTAGTAATTATGATGGAACAATGATGGTTATCTGGATGATATGGGATATGCTAAATCTAAATTGGTAACTGGATGTTATTGGTTAATCAAGTGATTGCTATAGTACAGGTGCTTACCTAGATGGATAGGTTATAATAAAGATGATGCAAAGTATTTGAAATGGTTTATTCATGATAACTTATGCTTTTCGCAAACGAGTCAGCTAGCCCACTAAAGAAAGCCTTGCATAATCCTTGGTGTCACTTTATTTCTGGTTTACGACGGGTAAGTCTGGCTGAGTACATTCGAGTACTCAGGGTTTATCCCACCTTGTTGCAGGTGAAGTTCTCGACCTGTTGATGATGGTGGCTAACCGCCGGTGGGCTCGATGATTCTATATTTACTTCTCATCTATATGCTTTTGTCTGAGGATGTCACTTATGCTAGCAATGTATTTGGAACTTATATTAATGTAATCATTTGAAAGCTATGTTGTTTTCAATAATTGGTTTTGAAACCCAAACTTGTACTATTATTTGTGAACCCATTTGTAACATTATTTCTGCTGCAACTCTGCGTATGTGATGTGTATTTGCTTAATTACGCTATCTTGGTTGTGATGTTGATTTACCAAGGTCTTTCGAGACACTCGGCGGACTACTGGGTTTATATAAGTGAAAGTATACGCGTGTCAACGTGTTAGCGGGGACAACCGTACTTGATCTTGTATAAATTGGGCGGTTCTGTCACAAGGTGGGTTTACCAATTTTCTCTAGTCAAATGATAGTCCAGAGAATTTCCATTTAGTTGGAAATACAACAAGTAGAACTACAATTTCTCCAACTGATCCAAGTTTGAAAAGAACCCTAGAAAGCAATGCAGAAGACTAAGAAACAATCAATATTGATGCGGATGAAAGCAACGAAGACGAGAGGACTGAGAGGCGATTGAATTGGACGAAACCTGAAGACGTTAGATTGGTAAGCATCCTTTCTTAGTTTGTGAACAACTTGAACAATCTACTTGGTTATAAACTTTGAGGTGTTGTTTTGTGAATGTAGGCTTCTGCTTGGCTGCGTAACTCAAAGGACCCAGTTGATGGAACCGATAGGAAGGCAGATCAATATTGGGCGGATGTTACTGAAGAATACAATAAAAACACAGAGGTTTGCCGTAGGAGAAACCGGAATCAACTGAAGATCCGCTGGGACCGTGTTAAGAAACTAGTACTGGGTTTCCATGGTTGCTGGAATAGAACCACCAAAGTCTACAGAAGTGGTGTGAGCGATGATCAATTGATGGAAATTGCTGAGAAGATGTATGCTGGTGAACATAATGATAAAGATTTTACACTGAAGCACTTTTGGAAGGTTGTGCGGAATGAAAGGAAGTGGTCTGCATATGTGAAAAAGGAACAGGAAAAAGAGAAGAACAAGAGTGCAGCTGATTCACCGTCTGAAATGGTGAATTTGGAAGATAATCCTAAGATTCGTCCTATTGGACATAAGAAGGCTAAGGCTGAGCTCTATGGGAAAAAGAAGACACCTGAAGCTTTTTCTGCTATTAGTGACAAGCTAGACAAGTTCATTGAAGTAAGCACATTGGCTAGAAAGGACCGTGAGAAGATGGCGGAGACGCAGCAAAATATGGCAAAAAGTAAGGTAGAAGCTGCTAGGTTGATTGATAAGGTAGCAGAGAAGCAACTCAAGTGTAAAATGCTAGACACTTACATAGAGCTTCTGTTAGCACCGACAACTGATATGAATGCTCATGCTTTGGCTGAGAGGGAGAAAGCACTAGAGAGTATGAGGTTGGTCTTATTTGGTACAGATAATTAAGGTATTTGCTAAATGCTTGTAGTGACAATTACTTTAGCACTGGAGAGTATGTGTTAAAGTTTAATTTCTTTGTGACCGCAGGTTTTCAAGTATGAACTTGGTGTCCAGAAGCTTTTTCTTCTACTGGAGTTTTCTTGTATTGGAGTTTTCCATTACACTACTGGAGTATGAACTTGATGAGTTTCTATGTGACACTACTGGGTTTCTAGGTAACTGGCACTTGAAAACTCGTACCTATCCTTTCAAGTATGAACTTGGTGAAAACTGATGTATTTATTAGTGTCAAAACTGCTTATGGATGACTATTTCATGCACCGTTTGTTTTGTGCAAAACAGCTAGCATAACTACTCCATGCACCGTTTGTTTTGAGAACTTATTAGTACGACCTCTTTTATTTTAGGAGTGCGTATCTGTGTTTTATTTTTCAACAAAAGGAGTATCGGTTGAGCTTATTACCTGATGATAGGCTGTCTAATATCTTGGTGTGAACACTGCCTGCTTCCTTGCATATATATGTGCATCTAGAGGGTATACATACTCCTCTTTCTGTAGTTCTTCTCTCTTCGTTCTCCTAATGTCTAACCAACCACCGAGAGCTTCTGAACCTCAAGACGAGGATGGCAGCATATATCCAGAAGAGTTGTACACATTTGAAGAATTTGAAGCCGAGCAAGAAGTATTAGAAGACCTGCAAGATGAGATGGTTGCAGAATTGAAGAATGATATTGAAGCACTAGAAGAAGGGAGGAGACGCAGTAGTGGTCCAAGGAGGTATGTGGCAAGGCCTCGAGAAGAAGCCAATCAACGGCTTATGGATGACTATTTCACGGAGAATCCTATCTATAATTCTACTATCTTTCGTAGAAGGTTTAGGATGAGAAGGCTCTTGTTTCTACGCATTGTCCATTCTCTAGGTGAGTGGTCTCCCTTTTTCACCTTACGAGTGGATGCTGCTAATCGCCCTGGGCTATCTCCAATTCAAAAATGCACTGCTGCAATAAGGCAGTTAGCAAATGGAAGCCCAGCAGACCAGCTTGATGAGTATATTAAGATTGGTGAAAGTACTACAGTAGAGTGTTTGAAGTTATTTGTGGAGGGAGTGATTGCAATATTTGGGGCGGAGTATTTGAGGCGACCAACAGTACAAGATGTTGAGCGCTTAATGGAGATTGGTGAGCGTCGTGGGTTCCCTGGCATGCTAGGGAGTGTTGACTGTATGCATTGGCACTGGGAAAAATGTCCTTATGCATGGAAGGGTATGTATACCCGCGGTGATCACGGTGTTCCTACGATCATTCTAGAGGCAGTTGCTTCGCATGATCGTTGGATATGGCACGCCTTCTTTGGTGTTGCCGGATCGAACAACGATATCAACGTGCTTAACCAATCACATTTGTTTGTCGAGCAGCTAAGAGGAGAAGCTCCTCAGGTGCAGTACTATATCAATGGTAGACAACATAATATTGGTTATTACTTAGCAGACGTCATATATCCAGAGTGGCCTGTTTTCGTGAAGTCTATACGTAAACCACAATCTGATAAACATAAACTTTTTGCTGAGAAGCAAGAAGGGGCAAGGAAGGATGTTGAATGCGCCTTTGGCATTTTGTAGTCTCGCTTTTGTATTTTGCGTCGACCAGCCCGTCTATATGACCAAGGAGATCTGGAGAATATCATGCTTGCTTGTATAATTCTCCACAACATGATAATTGAAGATGAGAAGGATATAGAGCAGGTTCCAATTGATTTGAATGAGGAAGCCAGCACATATACTGTTCAAGAAGCTACAATCTCTCATGGAGAAAACCCTGAGATGGAAGATGTACTTAACAGAAATACTACCTTACATGATCGCCAAACGTATAGACAATTTCAATCTGATTTGATTGATCATATTTGGCAAAAGTTTGGGAATACATATAGGCAAAATAATTAGGTACATATCTTCAATCTGATTTGGTTTAGTGTGCAAATATAGCTAAGTTATCCTAGTATGTTTGTTTACAAAGAACAGATTAGTTTTTTGAAAAACACATGTGCCAGTTCAATCTTTCCAATTGCACTAAGTAATGTTTTTCATCTAATCACTATTTCTTTCCTTGTAGATGATGGTTTCTGAAGATTTGGAGTCCATTGCGACCTGATGGATTTTGGAGTGCATGTGCAACCTACCGACATGAACGTGGCACCCTTTTTTTTTATTTTGCATATGATGAACTTCAAGTACTTCGTCTGAACTATGTATGTTACATGTTATCTTTATCTCCGGATTGCTATTATTAATTAATGTATGGTTTTTGAGACTGAATTATGGGTCACTGTATGGTGATATTTGGTTCTGGAAAGATATGGAATGCAGAAATATGATCTATGTTTGCCGGCTGTGTTCATTTGCTGGCAGCTATCGACCAATTTTGTTTCTTTGTCATTGTGTGTTGTCGACGGAACACATGTGGGCTGTAAAAATAGTTGTCACAATTGATCTATCTGTTTTTGGTGCTGTATTTAATTTACTCTTTGTATGAATGATGTTATAGAAACCATAGGTTAGAAAGCACTACTTTTTTTGTGCGGTATCCTATATTATAGAAGCTAGTAGTTTCTTTTATTGGGACTGCCCTCAGAGGTGCGCGGCCTAGGCGCCCCAATTTTTTATAATTTAGCTCTTTTTTTTAAAGAAAATTTATGCTTGGCCCCACGAGAAATTTAAACTCATCTTCGATCCTGGGGGTCGACGCCATGACTCATGGCGCCGAGGTAACACGTCTCGGCGCCATAGATCTGGACTCCGGGGTTCCTGGCCGTGCACAGCAAGGACATCCTAGGTGGTGTTCACGTGACCGGTATCTCGGCGCCAGAACACATGGCACCGAGCTTGGCGCTGTAAATGCCACCTAGGATGTCCTGCTGTGCACGACCAGGAACCTCAGAGTCAAGATCTGTGGCGCCGAGATATGTTACCTCGACGCCACGAGTCCTGGCGCCGACCCCTCTAGAGTCCAAAAATGAGTTTAAGTCTATCAAAAACCAAATATAAATTTTCTTTAAAAAAAAGATCAAATTATAAAAAAATTAGGCCTAGACGCCCAGTCCGGCTCCGGTCAACTGAAACCAGCGTCCTGGCCGGCGGGACGGCTCGTGACGGAACAGTCCAGATCAGCAAGGAAATCCGGTGGTGGCGCCCGCTGCACGCTGCGTTCCAAAATCGCCAGGATCTTTGTTTTCCGGTGCCTGATGCCGACCCAGATGATCAGATGGATTCTCATGATCGTAGGCACGAACCACGTCGTTGTCGTCGCCGGGGGTCGTTGCCGTCCATGCTTGATTGTTGTTGCCGCCCGCCCGCAGTCCAGTGGCCAGCCGGCAGTGGGAATGTTCTTCTGCGACAGTGCACTAGAAAGCTACTACTAGTTTCAGAGTGCAGATATTTATCATCTTTTTCTGAGTTCTACATACGTGCCGTGGTCAAATGTTCACTGTTCACTTGTATCACAAACTGGAGAGACAAACATTCACACGGGCCTAGACGCCTTTTTCACCGAATTGATTCCTTTGCTTCGGCTCCATGCGAGCTGAAGCAGCGCATATCTACCGTGTTATATATATATATATATATATATATATAGACACACACACGGCACAGAGTTTCATCTACCAACGAACTGATTTGATCATCTGATCCCGAAAGCATACCCGGATGGACGTGTGGTGGGCAATACTTTCACTTTGACGAAACGCGCCAGAGAAATCTTGTGCGACATCCCATGCCGATGCCGTGTACCAGGCGCCGTACTCCCGGTCGTCGTCCACTCGTGCGCGGACACCAGCGCAATCCCATGCCGGGCTGTTCGGCGCCGACTTACTTCGTCGTCCACTAATCTGGACACCAGCGCAATTTATGTTCGTGAAAAGAAAAATATTGATTTGATTTATCGTGTAAAAAAATATTATTTTATTACTAAAAAGTAGAGCTGATTTTAGCTAATAAGCTCACATGAACAGATCCCACACGAATCTTCGCTTGCAGTTCCAGGTCCAGTCCAGCTCCAGGGGCCGGGGCGGCGGGCGGCGGCTCTCGAGCGCCGTAATCAATTGCCGACACGCGCATCATTGGCCAGCTGACGATGAGGACGAGCACCACCGGACACCGGTGGCGCCTCCCCGGTCCACGCCATCCCCACGGCCGAACGAACCAACGCACACAGACCGGCCGGTCCACCCCGCCCGCCATCACCAGCACATATCCACCGGCACGGCACCTCACGGCCACCGCCTGTCATTTTCGTCGGGACAGACAGGTACGCCTTCGCACGGCAAGTCCGTGTCCGCCCACCGCGCCGGCCAGGTCGCCAATCCCCGCGCGGCACCGCAACGTGTGCCCGTCGCCGTCAGGCAGCCAACGCCAGCACCACCGCCGCCGTCGCCCCGACGGCCTCCTCACTTCCTCAGCCTTTGCCGGCTGCCGCCTGCCGCCACCGCCAGCACCCAGCACCCCAGCACCCAGCAGGTGACACGAGGAGACCCCCACTTCCGAGGGGCCGAGACGTGCTAAAAGATGGTAAAGGCAGTTCGCGACGAAAACCGGTGCTGCCTCTTCCAGCCAAACAGACATGGCCCGGTATGGCATAGGGAGCACGCAAGATTCACTGGACTGGGGACCATCAAATTGGCCTCATTTGGAACGGTGGCATTATTTTCCAAATTTAAGAACAAACTATTTATATTTGAAAATTTCCATGAAACTCCAACGTTTCAAACAGAGCCCACAGCCCAGAGATTGATCACAACACCACTTGCCTTCGAAATTCAAATCGGAATGATCAATCACAAACAAGGAAAAGATTTTTGTGAGCCAGATTGACAGGGGCTCTGCTCTGCCTTTTCATTCAGTAGGAAGGAAGAAACAAGGAAAAGATTGATGAAGCTGTTGCCCATCTTGCTTGCCGGGTATCTTTTTTCTTTACACGTCTTTATGTGAAGGGGAGAGATACATAGCCGTCTTGCATAGCTACATGCCCGCACACACCGACACGCACGCACGCATCCGTCTGTCTCCTGCTACACTGCTAGAGCCAGAGCCGTCGCCGTCCGTCGACGTCGCCTCCGGGCAAACGGCACAGCTCGCACGCTAGGCTCCTCCTACTTACTATGGCTTCCGGCCCTGACGTCGACGTCGCGGCTCCATTATTGGCCACCTCCGAGCTCATCCGCATTCCACCGAACACCTTGCGCTGCGTCCCTGGCGCCATCTGGTTGCCGGCTTTACTTGCTACTGCTGTCTAGCTAGCTAGCTACCCCTCAGGTGAGTAGTTTTGCCTAAGGACTAGGGGACTGGTAGATTGAGGAGGAAGAAGAAGAACAACGACGAAATCAGCGCGCTTTACTCGTCGTCTGAGGTGTCCGGGGTGGGCTCCCGGTTGAGGTCGGGGTTCTTGGGGCGGCGGCGATGGTGGGACGACAGCGGCTGCGGAGAGGAGCCGCCGCCGCCAGCGAGAACGCCGCCGCCGCAGTGGAGCGCGTCGACGCGGGCGCCGACCTCGGCCGCCTTCTTGCGGATGGCGGCGGCGGTGAGCCCCGCCCCCGCGCCGTCCTTGTGCCCCTCGGGGTTGTCGGCCACCGCCGCGCCGTCGAGCTGGTCGGGGAAGTTGAGCCGCGCGGAGCGGCCGCGGAGGTAGAACACGGCCGTGTCGTAGGCGCGCGCGGCGGCGACGGCGGTGGAGTAGGACCCGAGCCAGATCCGTGACCGCCTGTTCGGCTCGCGGATCTCCGCCACCCACTTGCCCCACTTGCGCATCCGAACGCCGCGGTACTGCCTCCCCCCTCCGCCGCCGCGGCCGGCCGTGCCCTGCCGCCGCCGCAACCGCTCCACCACCGGCGCCCAGCACCGCCGCGGGCGGCGCCGAAGCCGGGGCAGCCGGCGCGGGCTGCGGCGGCGGGCAGAAGGCAGTGGCGTCCCTCTCCATCCCCCGGTTCGGCAGCAGCAGTTTGCCGCGGCGGCGGGGCTGGTGGTGGTCGTGGGGCGCTGCCGCTCGCTGCTACTGGTCTGCGTGTCTCTCCCTCCCTCCTCTGACCCTCCCCTCTCTCTCTCTCTCTCTCTTTCTCTTGCGCTTATGAGTGGTGGGGTCTTTAAATAGTTGGGGATTAGGCGGACGGCCCAGGTGGAGATTAGCGTGGGGGCGTGAGTTGGTGGGAGGGCGATTAGGGCGTGGCGGGATTTTTCGCGGGCGCGAGTCGGTGCGCGCGGCTGTGTGTGTGGGTGGGACGGCCGGCGCTTGCGAGCTGTGGTGAGTGTGACGGTGACTATGAGCTTATCGCCAGGGAGTTTTAGTAGAGTAAACTAGTCGCTCGTTAGGTTTTGGTGTGACGGGTGCGGTCATTAGTGCGGTCGAAATAATTGATGGTCGGTGCGCACTGGGAACGGATGCGCTCTACTCCGTATCTCTCAAAAGCTAAACAGCTCTGCAGGACACTGTCACCTCTGATTTCTGCCTCTCTGCTTGCAGTATATACGTATGGTACGGAACGGAACGGTTGTGCGTCCACCGTGATGTAACATGGCACGCTCAGTTCTGTCTGAACGCCGCAAAAGCAAGTACATGTACAGCGACGAACGATGATGGCAACGCAAGTAGGCGTCGCACGTTGCCAGCTTACGTTACGTGCACCGCATGTCCGCATCTGGCTGCGGCGGCGGCCGTAACAGGTCCTGTGCTGGCTAATCAAGAGAGCCGTCGCAGTTAAGCAACGTGATCATATGTCCCAGCCGCCGCGACCGTCTACGAACGCGAGAGAGGAGACCGAGCCGAGGGGCGTGCGCCGCCGCCGACGGGGGCTGAACGGCCCGCCCTCGCCCGTGTCAGCAGCGCCGCGCGTCGCGCCGCCAGGAGGGTAGCGAACGGACGGACGGACTAGCATCAGGATGGGGCGGCCGCGAAGCCGAGACGGTGCGCGGCGACCGACGAAGAACGGGACAGCGAGAACCCGCCGACATGCGCGGGAGAGCGGCGGCCACGTGGCGGGCGCCGCGGACAGCCTGTGCCCCGCCCCGGCCGGGTACGGGAAGAAGCACTGCGTGCGACCGCGAGCGGAGTGGGATAAAGAGAAGCCGTGGGGAACGGATGGTGACGGGCCGACGGGGGGCGTCCCGTGTGTCCGTGTCGCGTCGCGTCGGGGCCCGCCGCCCCACGGCCCGACAAGGCGGGGGCGACCGCGACGCCGTTGTTATCCGCTTGGTTCGGTTCGGTGCCGCGGGCCGGGATGCCGATGCCCCCGATGCCGCCCCGGGCGGGGCACAGCGCTGCCTGCCGCCGTGCCGGCCCTAAGATTTCTCTTCCTCCTCGTTCGTCAACGTGGGGTGGGGCGGCGGACGGTTTGGGGTGGTCTGGTTCTGTGACGTACTCCGAGTACGGAGTACTACTCCGTATCCTTGAGCGGCTGGAGTTGGCCGGTGGCCGCCCGGGTCACCGACCCACCGCTCCCTTGATGCGTTTGGCCGTTTGGGCGCAGCCGCGCAGGTGATGCACCAGTGCGATTTCTGATCAGTGCACTGGAAACGCTGCGAGTAGTAGAACGGAGTGGATGCATCGAGCGACTGGGGCGTCAGTGTCCTGTCACGCTGGGCCACGGAAGGCGATCCACTGATTGGCCGTACTCCTACTAGTATGCTGGAGTACAGTACACTGAGATTTTTGCGTTCAGTCTGTTCGCTTGCTGACAATCAGAGTTTATCAGTCAACCAATAATATTTTTCTCTCATAACAAATAAACAAGTACAAACCAAATTTATCTTAAGCCAGAAAACAACCAGCGCGCGTGTTCGTCGGTGGACGGGACGGAGCTTCCTGACAGTTCCTTCACAGAGACAGGTGGTTCGATGGCAGCGTGGATAGCGAGCTACGGAACCACGTTCGCGGATCGCGACGCGACTGCCGTCCTGTACTAGCAGCCTAGCAGGTGATTTTCAGGCATGTTTTCGGCTTTTCGCAGGGTCAGGGAGTCTGGCTGGTGGGACAGCCGGACAGGTCGCCGAAGCCTTCCCGTACACAGGAATGAATAGCCGCAGAACCAGAAGATACGCCAACGGAAGCAGGACCTGAAAAGATAACTGTAAGGATAACATTTCTCATTTCGTATGGATGTTCTGCCAACGGCGAAAAGAAAGAAAAGATCGATTCTCAGCGGAAAGAAGAATCTACAGCCAGCCACAGGCATTTCTTATAATGGTTCTCCATCACATGTTATTTCACGGGCTTGTTCAGCAGAAGCGATAAGCAAAAGGCAATATTTCGTTCCAAAAAAAAAAGAGTAAGCAAAAGGC